TCATGTTTGCCCCATGTTCTATCTCTCACTTCATGTATGCCAGCTAGCAGCAATTATGTTTGATCAAAATCTGATATGTTTGAATAACAAGGGGCATGTAATAAAAGATATTTGTTCTTAAAAACAGTCATGGAAAAGTTTTGAAATTTTATCTATGAAAATTTGTGGGAACCCTGAAAATAACAACATCTGATTAGACCACACCCACTTCCAGTTTAAGCTCCACTCATTATCTATTTAAATCCAGCCCATGCCAAATACAGATACAGATAATTTTGTTTGTTATGCAGATACAGAAACAGATAATGGTGTACTTGCTCTTCCCTAAACTGGCTTTACTGTACCTGAATAAGCCCTTGTTGCTGATATTGATCATTCAGATCAATTTGGAACTTTAATTTCTGACAGTGAAAATATTTCATGTTCATTGTGCATGTGGACTACTATTTAGAGGTCCAGTGTGAAGGATGTAGTGGCACCTAGAGAATGGATGATATATGACACATCAAGGGTAATGTAAACATAATGATTCTTAGTTTCAGGTGATTTTACACTTTTAAAAACAATGTTATGGGTATTATATTCCATTTCTGCCAATAGATACCCCAAAGTCCTACATACTAGATATTTAAGAGAAATACGAAGAGATTCCATTTAAAATGTTGGCAAAACTTTAGAGAAGGTATCCTGCTGCGTTCCTTTAATGTCTCCACTGTGGAAGTCACACGTTGCAATAAAAATAAAAAACTGGCTGCAGAGTCAGTTAAAAATGGATGAGCATCATGATGCAGTTTTTCTCAGAATAACAGAGGTTTGTGTTTTGCAGATACTAACAATGATAATATAATAATCTCACCCCCTAATTTCTCACTAAAATCAGGCAGAGCTGCAAAATGAAAGCAACCACCGACAGCAGTCAGTGGTGTTAAAGGGAAGTTTTGGATTGGCTCCATTAAGACCCGTAGCTCATTAAAGTCTACTCAGCAAAAGACAGAAACCATATTGAACTCCCAGAAAACAAGTCAACAGTGAAACAGCACAATGAGTACATAAATAGTCAAGAGCTCCAAATATAATTAAAGTTTCACATCACATGTAAGCAGCCTTTATTTTTCAGGTTTGCCTGTGTCGACTGAGCCGTCTTAGAGTGTGGAAATAACACACTAATTCTGCTCTTAGAATAGACGAGGGGATTGTTTACCACTGAAGACCGCCTGTAAGGGGGCAAGCAAGGGGAAAATGTCCTCACTGGGATCAATAAACTATCACATTATCATTAGGTTCTCAAAATGTCTCAGGCAGTGCCTCACTTGTAATGGTTGGTGTGAAAGTGTAAGGTGACAAACCTGTAAAAAGCACTGATTTGTTTCTTCAGCAATCAAATTGTCTTCCTGTTTTGCACCAGAGAGGAAACAGAGTAAAAAAAAAAACAAAAACTTTTATTGCTCATCCCATGCTGTCCATAACAGAAGCACAGAGATGAACTCAGTTTGTTTCACTTTTTTAGGCTTATTTTTGTGTGTTCCATTTTCAGTGTGACACACACACACACAATACAGAAGATTCAAAACATCTCTGTGATGGACAGGGTTCAGGCGATAATAAATGCAGTACTTTTAAATGAGAATGAACTCACTCCGGGAAAAATGGACAAATTTCTGGTCTCAGTGAAGTCCGCTGCAGAGAGTTGACAACTAATCAAGTGAATAGCTGATTTGCTTTTTGTAGAAAAGTTTTCTTGAAGGGATGACATGATGCCAAATCTGAAAAGCACAAACTGCTTACAACAATAATGACAACAGTTGGAGCAGACTTGTGTGGGCGTTAACAGGGTGCTAGTGCCTTCACCTGTTGCCATGGCTGGACATTTGCACAAACTCACACTGAGCCTTCAGATTAGTTTTTTAACTTGTTTTTACTTCAAGAGGTCTCTTTCTTCTTTTTGCCTTGGCATCCTTTCTTCTGTGCATATCTTTCTATATCAGCGCTTCTCTTCAGTCTGTCTCTGACCTTTCATTTCACGTCTTATCTGGTCTTCAACTCAAGTTCATCCTGTCTGCTTGTGTCGTCCTCTCCTGTCACTGTGTCTAAACTCAAACTCCCTCTAGTATTGCCACAATACCAGGATTTTAGCTTTTGTGACAATGCTGATTTCTACTGTAATACCAGAGCAAACAAGGACATCAGTGAGAACCATCACATCCACATTTTCTAAATGGCAGCAGCTTTGGTCAAACATATTTTTCTCTAAATGTGTGTCAACAAATGGGGCTGTCACAAAGGGATGCTCTCCACGTCTGTGTCTGCTGTGTCCTCTGACAGACATTTACTGACAAACCCTGGCCACAAACAAGTTTCATCTCTTTAAAGACAGATTGTCTGTCACCCAGCTCCTCTTCTCTGTCTGTCTCTCTGTCATTCATTTCCCCTGACAGCAGGTCAGGCTTTGGAGCAGATTCAGACTTAGATAACTTTCTGTGGTTGCTGCAGCTTTAAAATACCTCCTGGTATTTTTAAACCTTGTTCTTCTACTCAGACAAATTTTAGTATGTTTCTAGATAAGGCTGGGCAATATATTGATTTTATATAAATATTGTGGTATGAGACCAGATATTGTCCTAGATTTTGGATATGGCAATATCTTAAGTGTTGTGTTTTAAGTGTTTTAAACTTAGCAGTTACCTTGCTTACTTGTTTCAGCTGTTCTATTATTTGACTTTACCTACTTAGTCATTATATCCGCATTACTGATGGTTACCAAAAAACATCTTGTATGAATATTAGGGCTGGGGCGATTTATTGATTATACTGAACGTATTGTGGCCTGTTCCATGTGGGATATATAAGATTACTTTAATACGAACATGGAGTATAAATAGTGTCATCAGTTTTTTTAAGCCACCAGTATGAGACTCGCTTCAGCGTTGATGTTCTCTCACTCTCTCCTGTGGCTTCCTCCCTCTCACAGACACACAAACATAAAGAAAGACCCATATATACGATACATCACACACACATTCCTTAGCCCATTCCGATCACTTTCTCCTGAGTGACAGTGTGTGAGCAGGGCGAAGCATGTTTCTTATCTGCAGGGCTCCAGACCGTTGACGTTACTATTTAGTGGCATTCATAGAGCACCAATGCCACTTGCAAATATTATCAATAGATGAACTGGAGAAATGTTAGTTTGTTCCAGCTTACAGTGAAGAAATAGTCACCTGTGACTAGTGTGTGTTTTTGTATCTGTAGGACTTCATACTGCGACTGTTTAGTTGCATTTTGTGACCATGGAGCACCAGTACAACTTGCAAATAATATTATTATTGTTTGACTTTGAGAGCTCTTAGTGTGTTTCCAGCTCACAGTGAGTAAATCCTCACATTTAAAGGTGAAGCAGCGACAGTTTAATCACTTAACATCTAACTGTTGACCGGAAGCTTCATGTTCACAGCAGAAACATCAACACTTTGGCCCATGACGATCTGGGTGCTTCAAAATAAAAGCACTGGTGGTTCCACTTTGATTGATTTATTTATAACAATACTATATTGAACTTCATTACAACAGTACTTATTTAACTTTATTATGACAGTAGCCACTTTATTTAATTTTCTTGTAACTGTGGTTCATTTAATATTTTTTTATTTTAGTAGTCCACAGTAGTTTAGAGAAGATTTTGAAATATTGAAATATAATCATGTATTGGGATATAGCCCAAAAGCTGCAATATTATTTTTGAGCCATTTTGCCCAGTACGGGGGCTGAGTATCGGTACTTGTCACCTTTAAGGTATCAACCACAGTAACATAGTACTATGTAATATCTAAACTTCTCCAGTCAAATTATACCTGCACCTGTCTTTTTGTGCCAGGGGTCTGATCTCAAACTGTGTCGACTCCCTGCTGGGTCAGGAAACTTTCTGTTGCTACCATCTCTGGAGTCGCTCTCCTCCCCGAGAACGGTTAGTTCAAGCAGTTGTCCGGTTAGCACGAACATCCAACACCGGGCAGTTAAACTGTGCCAACAAACTCATTATGACACCAAAATAGCTCAACTCTGTCATTACATCTTTTAGGGTGTTTTCACATTTAGTCCTTATTAAATTAACCAAACTCAGTCCTCTTTAAGTGAGCCAAAAAGTGGACCGACAGAAAGGGGACTCAGTTCTTCTTGCGTTCACATTGTCAGTCTATTTGAAAGAGGACTGAGTTCTCTTTCTGGTCCACGTAAGTTCTGATGGGGCCTCAGTCCTCTTTCTGTTCACACTATAGCCTATATATAATATATATTCATGTAGTTTTGTTTTTACTTTGATGTGGCACTGCAGTGTGATGATGAAGCCCCTCGCTTTCAGGTGTACTTAAAACTGGAGGAAAACCTTAGCATTTCTTGTGCTTTGTGAACAGTTGCCGTTTGATGTTTTCCTTGCTCCATATCTGGAGGAGTGCAGTTGTTTCATTGTCAGACCAAAGTACTCCTCGTCCACTGGTCATGCTGTCGTTACCTGTGGCCATTGTTCCATTTGTTTATCATGCGTCCCACTGAAATAGCGTGTGAGTCACTGCTCCGAGTCTGCTTAGAGGGCTGAAAACACCCTCAATAACCATTGGGTAACATTAGCTGTGGAATGCTAACAGTTAGCCCCGTTACTGCGTATGTATGGGCAGACTCTCACCAACCATCCCCTGCAAAGAGCTCACACTCCTCCAGCAGCAGTGACAACCCATACCTCTAATGAAGTAATCGATTGGTATCAGTATCACTTTTAGGGTACTGATGTCATAATGTTTAAAACCACACCCAGGTCTAGTAAATATTTTGTGAAAGCATCAATACTCAACCCTACAATATCATTGCAAAATTTATATTGAGGTATTTGGTCAAAAATATTGTGACATTTGATTTTCTCTAAATTGCCCAGCCCTATTTCTAGATATTGCTCAGGTGGTTGTTGTAGCCCAATGATTATGTACAAACACTGTCATGTTCTTTCCATTCAGGTGGCAGCCATTAACCCCAGCCACCCTCTCGCCCAGATGCCCCTGCCTCCCTCCATGAAGAACTGCATCCAGCTGGCTGCCTGTGAAGCCAGCGAGCTGCTGCCCATGAACCCCGACCTTCCAGCCGACCTCTTCACCTCCTGCCTCACCACACCCATCAAGATCGCCCTCCGATGGTAAAGTTTCTCTCATGCTTTCTTCCCCCTTCTCTTTGCCACACAGATTCTTTCTAAGCAATAGAGGTCTAAAACATTCCAGATGGTACATTTTGGGATATTATGTTCTAAAGTAATGCTGAGGTAACGGTTAGCTGGGATTTTTGTCACCTAATTTTTAACATTTAAGTGGTGTTTTCCAATAATGAGTCCAAACAGGCATTAAACAGCAGCAGGAGAAACTTTGAATTTATTCACATAAGCTACATGGTTATTGCCTTTCACAGCAGGCAAGGAAATGTACAAGAAAAATTCTACTTTGGAAGAATTTGAATAACCTCTCTGCTCATGATCACTTCAGTCTTGCTGTGGCTTACCTATTCTAATTTTCATTTCAAGGTTTAAGATTAATATCGTGCTAGATATTGCAGTATTTCTCTGAAATATTCACACAAAAAACACACATTTTCCCTTTAGACCTGCAGGAGACATTGTGTCATTAATTTGTAAAGCCTGGTTGCGGCAGCTTGAATCACTGCTTGAACACTCTGAGGACACAATCATGAGTCCTGTGCAGAGACCAAACCTTGCTCTGAGCTCCGAACCTGCTCAGTATTCAGCTATGATGAGAAATATTCAGCTATGATGAAAAATGTAAACGGACATCATCTGCAGTAATACAAGGATGATGGTCCCTGCAAAGGACGCTTCAGTAAAATAAGTGAAAGATATTCAGGCGAAACGTGTTTTATACAGTGGCCTTATGTAAATGTAGCATGATGCATCATTCAGAGGACTGTACTGATGGAGCTTCAAGCTAAACTACAGGAGCACATGTGTTGCGTCAGCCAGTCAGCTGCATGTGGGGCACAGCGAGCATGTGGGGGTTGCACACCCAAGCAAAGGTGATTGCATCACCTTAGATCCTGTGTCAACACAAAACACACACATAGATATGTCATTAGTGTTCTACATACACATGCACTGTAACTCCACATCCTGTATGTGGGGTAATTTGTCCGTAGCAACAAGTAACACAAAGTGTCAGAAATATAAAAAATTGGCCTCCAATGCTAGGTCGGATTCTTAGTTTTTACTTATCGTTTCATCAGATATTTCCTAATTTAGATCAGGAAGTCAGCTAACTTTGCTGGTTTGAGACTGTGTTTTACAGGTAGATTTACTGTATGTTTTTTATGTGAGGTAGTTGCAGGTGTACTTTGCTTCCTTGTAATGACATGATCTGCCAGGAAATGAAATAATTTGTGTTTATAAGCCCCAGACAGCCAAATGTTCCAACTGTAGCATCTGTACCAACCATACACTGCAGCAATCGTGGACATAGCTGCTGTGACATCACCTGTGGGTGTGTAGACTCCTGTTTGGAAGCCTTGAATTTGGCATTTTGGCCGTCGCCATCTTGGTTTTTTGGAGCCTGAAGTGACCATATTTGGGTGAAAGGGTGGAGCTTAAAGGAGCGAGGGGTGGATCAGACTGAGAAGCCTGTCACTGAAGCCTTGATAAAATGTTAACGGGTGATTTCGATAAAAAATTCTCCCCTCGTGTAGTTGTCATGAATGTTGAAATGATCTCTAGAGACAAACCTTTTTTTATTTTCAACAGGCTGTAAATGATGAGCATATTAACATGGAGGTCTATGTGGATTGACTGGCCTCTGGAGGGAGCATCAAGTGGTCTTTTGAGGAACTGCAGTTATTAAAACTTGGATGTCGGCTTCATATTTCAGCTCCAAAGGTTGCCGCTTGGTACCAGCTGTTCCAACTGCACGTTAATTGTAAGCTAGCTAGTAAACAGAGGCCCCGACCATGTTTGTGAAGGTGTTTCTGTATACTGTCAGGGTCTTTCCCAAACTGGAGCCTACCTACTCCAAAACTTAATAATTCTCCTCCACTCTGAGAGGAGTTTTTTTCTTTACTTTTCACTTATTGAGACGATAAACAAAACACGAAACAAAAACAAAACTGGTCTTGCATGAGATATATGATTTGTACAGTAAGACAATGGTGGCTGTCGGTGAAAATATTTTTCAGCACAGCGTGTTCTATGGACAGTAAAACATCATCAGATCATTATCGACACGAGTCAATACAGTACTGATCAGTAGCACAATCAGAGCACTGTGTCATGAGCACTTTGTCCTGTTTGCCGTCTGTGTATGTTTTATTGTTTGCACTATACAACAACGTCTAACTCTGTTTTCAAAAGGTGCTTTATAAATAAAGTTCACTTACTCACTGACTTGCTCTGTCACCTATGGCAGTGCAGTTCAGAGGATGAGGTCAGCAGGTGCTGCAAGCATATGCAGACTTCGGAGGACACTGGCGTTGTTGAGCAATGCCTTGGAGGTCTACAACAGTCCTCATCTGTGTTTTGTTACAGTTGGTTTTCACACCTGATGCGAACCGTGTCCGTGTACTCATGAATCATACACATGTGGAGACCACCTTTTCACGTGGGCCTGGGGTCTCATTCATAAACATTTCATTTTCATTTTTCATTATTTCATTTTAAGTTTTATAAATGAGACCCTTGGTATGGTACACAGTGTTGAACTGAACTTGGGGTCAAACACTCGGCCTGGGTCCCTGATGTGAAATTCTCCTTTGTTTCCTGCGGGTCTGTTCCATAGTCACTGTACGTTCTCGTAGATAAAGCACAGGTGTAAAGTGAACAGAACCTTTGTGACAAAGGCCTGTTATAAGTGATCCGACACAGAGAGCTCTCCTCTGGATTTGAATAGCAAAAAAGCATCAGTGACAAATGTCTTAATCTTACTGCAAATTAGAAACGGAGTTGGTGAGATAAGAACTGTACAAGATAATGTTTATTAACCTAAATGAACAAGAAATATGTCATCTATATTTCCCCAATACTGACAGCAGAGCTGCTAATATCGAAGCTTATTTATACCACTGTCTTTAATAATTCACTTAATACGGGTCTTCATTACCCATCCTTGCATAGTATTATTCTTTACTTTTGTCTTTTAGATTTACTTTTACACTTTTCATACAACATGGTACCATGCTATCTAATAAATAGAGAGATGGAGAGTGTGAACACAAAATGGAAGGCAAAAGAGTTCAAATATGAGAAAGACTCCACCAACACAATCATCACCGGCTGGCTTTAAAGAGATTTCTTGTTATGTGATATCTGCAAAATGCAGGTGAGCACCTTAATCATCCATGCAATGCACTACCCGCTCAGATACAGTCTCTCTGCAGTGTGCAGAGTCCCCGTGGTGCCATAAGTCATTACTTACTCGCACAGTTTTTTTGCATTTTAATGACTGAATTCACTTTGCACTCACTAAAAGTCACAGGGATGATTTTAGAAGTTTTCAACTCCAAATTTGAAAGAGGCAGCTCACTTTTTTTTGTTTTATTTGAAGTGTGTAAGAGAATGACAGGTTGCCTTCGGGAGGTGTCCTACAGCTAGTCAAATGTTTCTTCTCTGCCAGAAATGTTGAAGAGTTTCGTTTATCTTCCTCTGCTCTTAATCCACACCCCGCCGTGACCTTCAGCATAATGAGGTCTCAGTATTATGCCATTAATATTGATATCCCTTAGTAACATTCCATTCTGGAGAACAAGTTGCTAAAAGCCTGTTGGATAATATTGACTGAACTATTCCTTAATACCCTCTGCCTCCAAAAATGGATGTTGTGGCTTGCAGGGGAAATGTCAAGCTTCAGTAGTTTGTAAGGTGGGTAATGAATCAGGGTAAATTTAGTCATGTATTACTGTATGTATGTATTATATATGAAATATCATCACATGGCTCACATAGTTGAGTTTAGCATGAATGTTATATGAATGCCAACACTTCAAAAGAGAATATTTAAACTCTTGACTCATTTATTTATTAATTCATTCATTAATTACGCATGGAAAAAACACAATGTAATAATTGAATTAGGGATGCACAATATGGATTTATTTTCAGCCGGCATTAGTAACCAATATTTACCTGCTTGTCATGGCCAATACTGATAAAATGACCGATAATTTCACATTTTCTTTTGTTTTAAAAAGAAGTTTATATTTCATGTACACTTGAGGGTAAGAGAGGACCTTTCTCAGACCACCTCATATACCCTCTCTCAACCCACTAGCACTCCTTTTCCATGTTCACACAAAGGTTCCACCACATTAAGTACCATACCAAACCAAATAGTGAGGTGTGGAGGTGGGTTATTAAACCCTCCAACAGGGAGTTTGCATCCATGCTGACTTAATGATCACGTGCAACGCCGTATTGTGTTTGTCATATCAGGCCCTCTGTACAATCAGAGTTCCATGCAACTACCCCCACTCTGCTTTAGCTGCTCAAACTATGATAGACAGTACAGGCCAAAAGTTTGGACACACCTTCTCATTCAATGCGTTTTCTTTATTTTCATGACTATTTACATTGTAGATTCTCACTGAAGGCATCAAAACTATGAATGAACACATGTGGAGTTATGTACTTAACAAAAAAAGTTGAAATAACTGAAAACATGTTTTATATTCTAGTTTCTTCAAAATAGCCACCCTTTGCTCTGATTACTGCTTTGCACACTCTTGGCATTCTCTCCATGAGCTTCAAGAGGTAGTCACCTGAAATGGTTTCCACTTCACAGGTGTGCCTTATCAGGGTTAATTAGTGGAATTTCTTGCTTTATCAATGGGGTTGGGACCATCAGTTGTGTTGTGCAGAAGTCAGGTTAATACACAGCCGACAGCCCTATTGGACAACTGTTAAAATTCATATTATGGCAAGAACCAATCAGCTAACTAAAGAAAAACGAGTGGCCATCATTACTGTAGAAATGAAGGTCAGTCAGTCCGGAAAATTGCAAAAACTTTAAATGTGTCCCCAAGTGGAGTCGCAAAAACCATCAAGCGCTACAACGAAACTGGCACACATGAGGACCGACCCAGGAAAGGAAGACCAAGAGTCACCTCTGCTTCTGAGGATAAGTTCATCTGAGTCACCAGCCTCAGAAATCGCAA